TGGTGGACCTGGTTTCCCACACCAACATGACCACCAGAGAAGGGCCACACACAGGGCTAGAGCACTCACAGAAGGATCTAAACTAACTGCCCCTTCCAAACAGATGGTATGAAGAAAAAAGTGCTTGGCTAAAAGGACAGGAAGGAGGGACTCGACAGCCACAGATAATTGTGGCTGGAGGCTTCCCATAACCCAAAGATTACAGAAGCATTTCATGTTCCTGCCCTTTCCAGGAAGGAAAAAACCTTAAAGACTTTCAGGTGGTCTCTTAATTCTCACACTCTAGCTTTACTCTCTCTCCCTACTTATTATTCAAGCCCCTTTCCCTGCTATGTAAGCACCCCTTGTTTTTCTCCTTCTTTGCTTGCAGAAGTGGACCAGGCCTCCCCTTAATGAAAAGGAAGTAAAATTATTCACTCTGTTCATTGAGTCAGGAGCACTGTCTCCTAAAAAACGTGCCTCTTATTATCCTTCTGAGTATAAATTGTCCATATTTATTGTATTTTGAGAGTTGAGGTTCCAGCTTTTCAGCTCCAAATCCAGCCATGACTAAGGTGGAACTGATTTTACCCAAGTTATTTCTCTAATAAGATGCTAGGATTGGCTCCTGCTGCCCTGTTGGAAGCCAGATGTGTACTTGGGCTTTGCAGCAGTTCCTGAAACACCTCCTTAGAAGAACTGAGGGCAGGGAGGAGATGAGAGATGAGAGGTGGGAGGGGGGCTCCATATCGGTTACAGAAACCCTCAGGAATGTATAGTGGTAAGAATAGAACTCATCTACAGTTCAAAGAAAGGTTACCTAGAGCTGGGCAACATGCCCTCTATAGAGCTGAATCCCTGCTGGCAAAGGGCAACCTGGGAGGGGCAACTTAGGATCAGTGCCTGGGCTTGACTGAGGAAGTCACTATCTCATACTACAGTGGTTATCCGCTTGGCTTTAGCTACGTCTCAGCTGGCTGCTCACACATAAATCCGCAGATGCCACTCCAGCCTGACTGAATATTCCTGCGGCCTCTGAGAGGCAGACCGGGAGCTGGTCTGTTTCCATTTCTACCTCCTGTTCCACCTTGCATCCTCCTGGCCCACTGTCCTCCTCACCACTAGATATTAAGAATATTCAGCAAGAGCTGAGGCATATTAGCTCTTAATGTCCAATCAGATTATTAAAAAGTCATGATCACCTCCCAAGCAAAGCTACCAGAGAGGGTACAAGGTTCCTAGGACTTGGTTGTGTGGACCAAAGGCCTTAGCAGTCAGAAAACTGAGAACTGGGGAGGAGCTCTGATTTCTAAGATCAATTGAAAAGCAGAGGGTTATTTTTTTTTTTCCTTTAATGGTGGTGGCTTTAGCTTTTTTAAAAGTTTTTTTCCAGGGGGGAACCTTGTTTTACAGAGTTTGGAAAAGACCTCTCACATTAATATATTCTACCACCATCTAAAAACATATTTTTAAAAACCATGCTCAGCTAAACTCAAAAGTTTCCTTGGCTAGAAAATGAGTGTAATACTTGCTCTGCCCTCCTCCCTGGCACCACCGTCAAGAATGATGTATGTGAAACTTATGATTTTCATACAAGAAAACCCACCTCCCCCTCCACCCACATACACACATGCACACACTTATTTCCTTCCACCAAACAAAATGAAACCCTTGAGCTTGGGATCACTCATACTGAGTAAAAGGAGATCACTAGATTTGGGCCATGGAAGTAGCTGTTAGAAGAAAGGTGACTACATCAGACATAGAACCTATCTCAATCCCAAATTCTAGCAAAAAATACTTTCATTCTACAAAACAGCTCAATAGGTCACTGGCCATGGTGGCTAGCCCTTAGTACACACAGGGAAAGAGCACAACATGAGAAGGGCAAATGGCATTGCCTAGATGGAGAAGGAAATCCATTTTTGCTGTTTTTCTGCTAACTCCAGGCCTGTATTATTAGAAAAATTCTTCCCTTCTTAGGACATCTCCTTCCATGGCCTAACATTCAACTCTGCACAAGACAGTGAGGGGATAGTGTGTGGCCTTAGATTAACTGAGGTGCTGTTATATGCACTGCTATTAATGGATCATTAAAAAAGCCGGGAGTCAGAAAAAATTGCATTCGTGTCTTTGAATGGCTCCTGCTGTCCCAGCAGCCTACCCTGCTGGCAGAACTAGCTGCTGAGCACCAACTCCAGGAAGAAAAGAGCGAACAGAAGAAGGCCAACCCAGCTTACTGTTTTTTGGCTGAGTAGGGAATTGACACAGACCACCTCCGGCTCCTGTCTGGAAGTTTTGAGATCAGAGAGCTTCAGGCACAGCTGGGTTCACAGCTGCACCATTTGGAGCATTGGACTCATTAATATTCATGAGCCATCCCCACCAATCGGCAGAGCTGATGCCATTAGCTTAGCATCTGTCGGGTTTTTGTGAGGGTTGTGTATGGAGCTTTTTTTCCTTTTTAAATGAACTTATTTCGACATTTTGGATTTGCCTCTGTAGGTTTTCCATCCTCGCCTTGCTCTGCTGCATCATATAAAGGAGAGACTCAGGGGAGGCGGGCAGGAAAGAGGGATGAGTCCCAGCCAGGGCTTTGCATCTGCCTGTTGACAAACTTTATTTCTCTTTCAGCACCTGGCACCTCATACAGGATGCGAGGATGGAAGCAGCATCAGGTAAATTATACCTAACAAGGTTCATGCCCATAACTGAGAAGAGCTGGATCCTGGCTCTTTGGAAGACAATCCTTCCTCCAGTGGTGAACTTGAGCTACACACACAATGCAGGAGAGCTGCAGTGCACAGCTCTGAACCATTATTTCCACACTGATAAATTCATGATTTATGAAAGTAACTACAGCCAGCCTTCATTCCCTCCTTCTCTGCTACAGCTTGTTAGACACAAATTGCAACAACAGTCTTAAATAGTTGAATTTTATTTCAGGCCAAAGCCCCTCAACTCTGAACTAAATGCCATGACAGTCCCACAGCACAGGCTGATAAAAGAGCCCAAAGACAGGGTGGGATAGCCAGAGGAGAGAGGAGTGGGCGAGAAGAACCACACACAAACTTAAGTGCACAGCAATGCCCAATGCAAGCGGCACTCATCTCCTACAAGCTCTGGCTCCTGGTGGAGAGGAATTATGGCAGCAGGAGGGCAGAATGCCTCATTGTCTGAAGGAAGGCGTGTTGTTCCTCATCTCCATCCCTAGAGCCCTCTCTCCAGAAAGAAACAAAGCCCTTGCACCCCACTGGACTGAACATACGGCCTCCCTGCAACACAGCAGAGGGACACCGTACTGGCTGAAGCCCTGGGGGCAGGGAGCTGTTACTAAGGAAGAAAAAAGGGTTCAAAAAAGAAAGGAGCTCATTCTACCCCTGCAGAAAAAATGGTCACGTCTTTGCTTCATAACCAGAAGAGAGAGTGACAGCCCAAGACAGCCTTTTCTAAAACAAAGCTCCCTGAGCTACTTGCCTTTCCTCAGGCTGGGAACTACCACTTCTCTTCCATGGTGGCCATGACCTATTTTGTGGGCCTCAGGCCCACAGAGCCAGGCTGAGGTCTTGGGGTGTGCATGATCCCCAAAGACAGGAGTCCCAGCACCATTCCATTCAGTGGTATTAGTGGAGGAAAAGCAAGGAGGTGGGAGAACAAATATTCACCACCCTGTCTATGCAAGGAGGTAGGCAAGAGGCCAGCCTCCCAGAATCCAAGTGCAGCAGCAAAACACAGCCAGTGGGAATACAACTACAAGCATTTTTGTAGGGACAATATTCACTATGGCAGCTTAAAATATGCCACTTACAGGTCCCTCAAACCAGTAACCTGAGGCAGTGCTCCTGGGCCCATTAACAAATATCTATAGAGAGTAAACATGGGACTCTGTTCAGAATCAACAGCCACTGGACCTTATGCTTAACTTGCAAACATCTGCAAAGTGTTTGTTCCTATGGAGGAAGCTTGAGGAGTTGTCGTGACCAACCTCTACGCAACCAACCTGAGCAGAGGCAACTCTAAAACACTAAGCAGCCCACATCCCCAACTGCCTGTGCCCAATCCCACCCAAGTGCATGCATCTCCTTGCCTGCACCTTCTCTATCTGCCTCAGAGCAGAACCCAGAGCTCAGACCAGAGCTCACTTTTCCAAAACTGTTTCTAACTGACTAGGATCCAAAGGTACAGCATGGTCCCCTCCCAAGGACCTCCTCACAGAATGAGGAGCAGAGGGTCCTTCATCAGGTCTTTCAAAACCACAGCATGATGGTGAGGTAGAGGGTGGGAGAGGGGGGCTTTCCAAGGAAGGAGCCTCAGAGTCAACAACAGGAGCCCACACCTCAAAATGATCCTTTTCTTCCTCAGGAGGTGGTGAGGGAGAACTTCTCCTGCCCGATCTTGGAAAAAAGCAGCAACTAGAAGAGTGGGAAAGGGAAAAGAAGGAACAGATAGACAAAATGAATAGATAAACACAAGCGAAGATAAACAAAAGGTGATATATCCATACAAATGGATTATTATTCAGCCATCAAAAGGTATTAAGTACTGATACACATTAACATGAAAACATGCTAAACATGTTTGAAAACATGCTTAGCACAGTTTTCAAAAGGAGCCAGTCACAAAAGATCACGTATCTTACAACTCTGTTTGTATGAAATGTCCAAAATAGGTAAATCCAGAGACACAGAAAATAGATGCCATGAACTAAGGGTTGGGGAAAATAGGAGTCATGCTAATGGGTACAAGGTTTCTATCAGGGTGACAAAAATGTTCTAAAATTGAATATGGTGATTAATGGTTCCACAACTTTTTGAATGAACAAAAACACTACTGAATTGTACACTAAAATGGTAAAATTTTAGGAATGTGAACTGCATCTCAATAAAGTTATTTTAAAGGTAGGGGGAAATAAAGGACAAAACAAATAAGAAAGCCTCTTCTTTCTCCCCAGGTTTCTACAAGAGAGTCTGCTGCCCACGGATGGGTTAACACTGTCCCTTGTGCATGGAATNCCTGTGCCCAATCCCACCCAAGTGCATGCATCTCCTTGCCTGCACCTTCTCTATCTGCCTCAGAGCAGAACCCAGAGCTCAGACCAGAGCTCACTTTTCCAAAACTGTTTCTAACTGACTAGGATCCAAAGGTACAGCATGGTCCCCTCCCAAGGACCTCCTCACAGAATGAGGAGCAGAGGGTCCTTCATCAGGTCTTTCAAAACCACAGCATGATGGTGAGGTAGAGGGTGGGAGAGGGGGGCTTTCCAAGGAAGGAGCCTCAGAGTCAACAACAGGAGCCCACACCTCAAAATGATCCTTTTCTTCCTCAGGAGGTGGTGAGGGAGAACTTCTCCTGCCCGATCTTGGAAAAAAGCAGCAACTAGAAGAGTGGGAAAGGGAAAAGAAGGAACAGATAGACAAAATGAATAGATAAACACAAGCGAAGATAAACAAAAGGTGATATATCCATACAAATGGATTATTATTCAGCCATCAAAAGGTATTAAGTACTGATACACATTAACATGAAAACATGCTAAACATGTTTGAAAACATGCTTAGCACAGTTTTCAAAAGGAGCCAGTCACAAAAGATCACGTATCTTACAACTCTGTTTGTATGAAATGTCCAAAATAGGTAAATCCAGAGACACAGAAAATAGATGCCATGAACTAAGGGTTGGGGAAAATAGGAGTCATGCTAATGGGTACAAGGTTTCTATCAGGGTGACAAAAATGTTCTAAAATTGAATATGGTGATTAATGGTTCCACAACTTTTTGAATGAACAAAAACACTACTGAATTGTACACTAAAATGGTAAAATTTTAGGAATGTGAACTGCATCTCAATAAAGTTATTTTAAAGGTAGGGGGAAATAAAGGACAAAACAAATAAGAAAGCCTCTTCTTTCTCCCCAGGTTTCTACAAGAGAGTCTGCTGCCCACGGATGGGTTAACACTGTCCCTTGTGCATGGAATAAGAGAGCCACGCACGAAGAGAACAGGCCTCTTCAGAAAGGCTACCAATGCTGTGACTACTTTCTCTATTAAATGGACTCCTCACTGACCCAGGTTACAGTAACCCTAGCTCCCATTGTCTCAAAAAAGAGAGCTTTAGTTACCTCTTAGGCTGATCTCCTTTAGCCAAGTGAGAAGAGCCCTGCCTCTCTTCCTGGACCCAGCCACAGTTTGACATAGCATAGCGAAGGATGGCATCAGAAACGGTCATGGGGCTTTGGCCCTGAACACAGGCTTCTATCTCAGGCACCGAAAGCTGGCTTTGCAGGAAGAGGTGTAACTGGCTGTCTGACAGGAGGACCACACTCTGCAGGACCCTGAGGCAAACACAGGTAGGACAACACACAGCATCGCCCTGAAGATTTGTTCTCCCCAACCCCATCTTATGAAGGGCTCTGGCTTGAGTGAGCACGAGGGTATAAGAAAGGGGTCCAACCCAAATGCACCTATATGTTCAGTGCACCATCCTGCCTGTCACCTTCCCCCCTCTCTGCCCCCACCTCAGAAGGCAAGTGTTAGTCTGCCATGTCCACTCACTTTTCAAGGAAGTGCTGTAGACCTTGTCGTCGCTTCTCAATGAACTCATCTGAGCTGCCAAAGAAGGTTGACTTTCCAGGAAGTTCAGGTACAGGCCTGTGGAGTCACAAAATGTAACGCCCAAGATAAGTGTAACTTCCAAGACAGTCATTTCAGCCCCTAATCAAGGAAATCCCCTAAAAAGAGGCACAAATCAATACAAATAGCTTTTAATAAAGTTGCAGGGGTAGGAAGCTAACAATGACTGACTGCATGCCATGTGTCAGGTACTACACTAAATGTTTTACAAACCTTATTTCATTAATCCTTACAAAACCCCATGAGAAAGATATTAGTGTTCTCATTTTACTAGCAAGGAAATAAAATCAGAGAAGCTGAGAAAATTTCCCAGTGCCACACAGCTAGTAAGCAGCAGAGCTCATATATGAACCAAGTCTATGACTTCAAAACTCCATGTTACTATATACTACATTGTTTACAAAACCCACTTCCACCATCTACTGTTATTTTTATTTATTTATTTTTTATTCTCACCCGAGGATATGTTTATTGATTTTAGACGGGAGCGGGGGG